GTCCTACACCCGTTTAAACGTCTTTCATTTTGCGCATCTTTCATCAATGGTGAGGGAATTCCACACTTTTTTACCCAGTTGAGTTTTAATAATTCTGGTCTAAGGGTATCATTACATACCTGGGGACTCCCTCTATTAATCATCTCATTCTGATATTCTCAGCGTTTTTTCAATTTTCCCCTACACACAATCTCACCAAGTCGCCGGCGATCCGTAGTACTGAACTTCCTTGGCCTCCCTGGCCCTGTCTTGTGGTCATTCCCAACTCTTGCCTGGATATTCTTCACAGTTCTGCATACTGTAGACAGAGGGATGTCATGTCTACCAGCTAACTCTTTTGCATTAGTCACACCCTTTCAAAATGACCTTGATCCAGATTTCTGTTCTCTTCTGCTCTCAAATCTGCCATGTCGTCTACTACACCAGGGGAGATAACTCTTGATGTAGTAAGGTTCATTCTTAAGCCTACAAGAGTTACATCCCATATTGAGTACCTTACTACATATTGTAACACCTATTTTAGAATTCTATTATCAGTATTAGGAAACAAAGATTTTTCTTAATAATTTTTGGGAAAACTGTAAGTGTTTCACATGTTATAGATCAGCATGGTCAAATGGCATTTGGTCCCAAATAAGATTACAGCTAGGGATTTATTATATTCTTGTTGAGTTGAGTTGCTTGTAATGTACACTAACGAGCAGAAAAAACACGACTTTTCACAGACGTAGTTTCAAAATTTATTTACTGATAAATTCAGTTATATTTTTCATACATCCACTCTGGATACTGAAGTGTACATGTATGCAAGTCAATAGTCTGTTAGTCCACCGTTTCTCTCGATACACTGCTGCATACGGCGTCCCATGCTGTCAATCAAATTGTCTATGTAGCCCTGGGATAGGTCCACCCATATTTGACTGATGAAATTAGACCACTCAACGACACTCTTCGGTTCCAACTTTTCTAATTTGTCCTTCATAATCTGCCACACATTTTCAATTGGGTTCAGGTCTGGTGATACCGCTGGAAATTTCTGTAAGGTCACGTGACTCGTTTCAAACCAGTTACTGGTGTGTCTCGACTTGTGTACAGGTGCATTGTCCTGTAAAAGTTTGAGAGGTATTCCACTCTTTACTATATGGGATTCCACTATGCCTTCTTGTATAAGTTGACAGAACTTGCGTGAATCCATCCTTCCTGTAATAGTTAGCAGCGGTGTTACCCCGAGTTTGCCTATACCACCCCAAACCATGACACTGGGTGAGAACTTCGGAACAATTTTGCAGCTATACGTCCACCTCTTGACCACATCTTTCTTTTGATCCTATAAAACTGAAACTTTGATTCGTCCGTAAAAAGCACATTTGGAAAGTCTGTACCCTGCATTTCCCTGCTCCACCCCAGCCTTTTCTCCATATGTGCTGTTGTCATCAATGGAACTTTCTTCGGCACTCGCTTGACTTATCCAGATTGCTTTAAAGATCTTCTGATTGTCCATTCTGATACCTTAGTGGTTCCTTGACTTCACGCCTTCACGGCAAGCTGTTTTGCAGACCAGTCTGGGTACGCGGCCGCGAGACGCATTTGCCCCAAGAGTAGCACGACGTCCCGATCCAGCCTGTCGCTGTGTCCCTAGCCCTGCGTCAAATTTCTTCAAATTTCGGTAAACAGAGGCCCGATGCAGTCCCGTCAGTTTCACAAGTCTAGTTACAGATGTAATACCTGCTTCATAATATGCCAAGAGTCGATTTCTGTTGTTTTGTAACGGCATGGCAAAGCTTCGGTATCGTTAGCTAAGATACATAGCGTTCACTGACATGTTCATGTCAGTGAACGCTTTGTATCTTAGCTAGGGTATCGTCTGGTAGCAACGAGGTCACGTGATCAAGCCATCCCTGAACCCAAGGGAGATAATTCCATGCCAACGAGGCAAGCTACTGGCGGCTAGAAACAATGTATTTCGACTTTTTTGATAGTAGGGTCGAGTCTACAGAATAAAGTTTTTTGTCGCATTTTTTCTGCTCGTTACTATATATATTGACCTTTAATGCAGCAAAAACGACAACGTTCAGATCAGACGTTAATGTATACATTGTAGTATCATTAAGAAAAGCAAGTATTCCATACTACCTATATTTATGCATTTGATATTTTTGAAATTTCTTATCTGTGTTTCGAGTATTTCGGCACGTAAGAAGAATATATGGGGCAAAAGGATATAGCCTTATCGACCCCCTCCAGGAATATCAAACATATCAATACCAGAGCCATTTACAAGTACAGTAGATTGAATTCCCCGACGGTAATTTTAAATCACTTATGCTTTAAATGTCCAGTATCGACATGCGGGTATCAAACCTATGTTACACCCGAAAGAGCGTATTGAAAAACATCGACCCAAACGCTATATATTGATGTAAGATAAATATCTTTATTTCATTCTACAGGTTCCCACTCGATCCTGTGGATCCAAGGTGTGCAGTGAGACGTCTCAATGTGTGGAGGATGGATGTGGAATGGTCTGTATGGAAGGTAGGTCTTTTATCAGAAAAGTGTACGGTGTTTCTCCCAGTGTGTGGAGGATGGATGTGGAATGGTCTGTCTGGAAGGTAGGTCGTTTTATCAGAAAGGTGTACGTTGTTTCTCCCAGTGTTTGGAGGATGGATGTGGAAGGGTCTGTATGGAAGGTAGGTCTTTTATCAGAAAGGTGTACGTTGTTTCTCCCAGTGTGTGGAGGATGGATGTGGAATGGTCTGTATGGAAGGTAGGTCTTTTATCAGAAAAGTGTACGTTGTTTCTCCCAGTGTGTGGAGGATGGATGTGGAATGGTCTGTCTGGAAGGTAGGTCTTTTATCAGAAAAGTGTACGTTGTTTCTCCCAGTGTGTGGAGGATGGATGTGGAATGGTCTGTCTGGAAGGTAGGTCTTTTATCAGAAAGGTGTACGTTGTTTCTCCCAGTGTGTGGAGGATGGATGCAGAATGGTCTGTCTGGAAGGTAGGTCTTTTATCAGAAAATAGTACGGTGTTTCTAACAGTGTGTGGAGGGTGGATGTGGAATGGTCTGTCTGGAAGGCAGGTCTTTTATCAGAAAAGTGTACGGTGTTTCTCCCAGTGTGTGGAGGATGGATGAGGAATGGTCTGTCTGGAAGGTAGGTATTTTATCAGAAAGGTGTACGTTGTTTCTCCCAGTGTGTGGAGGGTGGATGTGGAATGGTCTGTCTGGAAGGTAGGTATTTTATCAGAAAGGTGTACGGTGTTTCTCCCAGTGTGTGGAGGATGGATGAGGAATGGTCTGTCTGGAAGGCAGGTCTTTTATCAGAAAGGTGTGCGTTGTTTCTCCCAGTGTGTGGAGGATGGATGTGTAATGGTCTGTCAGGAAGGTAGATGTTTTATCAGAAAAGTGTACAGAAAAGTGTACAGAAAGTGTGTACAGAAAGTGTGGAGGAAGGATGTTAAATGGGAACATACATAGAAAGGCGCATACATATTCTGTTACATTATGTGCTGGGAATTAAGGACTGAGTACCAGATCATGGAATCACAATAAAATGCAAGTGCTGCATTATCGTAAGATACAGTCATAACAGTCACAGCGCTGGTGATATTATATTCCAGATTGTCTATATTGTAGAAATATGGTCTTCCAGTTTACATTATCATTCAGTTCGCTGTCCCATTTATCACAGATTTTAGGAAAATTATTTTCAGATATGAAATGATCATAAAATAACCTTGAGCCTTTACTAGGCTTGTTCGGACATATTGACAATTTTGATTTATTTGGATGTTTTGTTGTTCGTATAACATCTTTCCATTTGTTGGTATACTGAGAAGAACACGATTTAGATCAAGAACCCTACCCCTAACATCAAATTTTGATTTAAGTTCTGAAAATGTTTGGAAATCAGGGTCATTACAAATATCCTAAATGTGTACTATTCCTTTTTGGGACCAGTTAAATATAATCAAATGAGGTTGATTACACAGGTGATATAGCCAAATAGGTTCCATAAGAATTTCATTTATATCGTTGTTCCACTCATAGCCTTTAATATATCTATTCCATGCATTGAGTGCATCTTTCCAAAACGGGATTCGATTTTCTATTGTTTACTAATATTTGAACCTAACTGAAGAATGTGTTTTCAGGGGAAACCAGCTAAACTATAGCAATTAAACTTTGACACGTATCTTCTTAAACATGCAATTTTTTTGTCAACCAATAAATGTTTTGACATCAACTATTTTTATACCATCAACTTCATTTTTGCGCATTAAATTAATTCGCTTTACCTTGTCGTTCTTATCAATCCATATGAATAGAAATGATTAATTATTCAGTTTTGTTATGAAATCATTCAGATGATTGGGAAGAGATCTGAGAACATCAACCGGTTTCCCGGTATTTACCGGTTCAGACATGAAATCGATACGTATTGCGATACCTGGATCGAAAACCGGTTTTTCGACATGCATTCGGAAAACTTCGTAACACTTGGAGATCTTCGGATATTTCCGTTTTTCACACCGGAAATCAGGTTAAGTTCGGTTTGAAGTTGTCTTCTTAATTTTTGTTCAAGTGTTTCGCAATGTTTAGGATCTGAATGTTATATATATATTTACTCATTATTGACCAGTGATCCCTGATATGTCCTGACCAGGTCAAGCTGCTGTCTAAACTCTCAGGGCTTTTTTAAGAGTGGAGAAACTAGTTCAAACTAGTAACCACTGTGTTGATGTTAAATTGTTCTTTTCCTTGTTTCCTTCATTTTAATATGATTGAAAGTTTTTATATAAGCTTAATCAGGCATAGAGATTTTCTTGTGTTTTTGCTTTATCAATCAAGCATTAACTCGATTACAAGTAATTTTTTATGAAAAATATATTCTTGCAATATATTGCAATACGTATGGCAATATATGCTTTGGAATCGCAATACGCCTTTATCACGCAACCCGCTAAAAAACTTCACAACGAGGCTCGGTATTCAAACAGAAATGGCGCAACACTGCTGTGTGCCGACCTGCAGTAACGACTCCCGCTATCCGTCTGGAAGGAACCTGTCATTCCATAATATCCCAAAGGATCAAGACCTACGCAAACGCTGGATAATAAGTATCAGACGCGACGAAGGGCCATTATTCAAGGTAAGTTAGACATGAAATGATATGACAGTCGCCTTGAGTCAAGGGTGCTCGATTTTCGCGCACGATCAGCTTGGCCGTACCGAAAATCAAATGAAATAATAAATAGTCATTTAAGGTTAACATGTCGTATCACCCGTCTAAATTGTAGTTCTGATATTGGAAAAAAAGTAATTATGATCAATTTTTAAAATTTCCTTTGGTTTTGTTTGTATGTTAACTAGCCGAGAGCCGCGGTGCGGTCAAAACATGACCCTGCTGTATAGGACCGCATCGCTGCTCTCGGCTAGTATGTTAACATGATTGAATTTAAATTTTTCCCCTAACTTAGGGGCCTGAGGCCACATATTTTTGTTTCTCATCACTATTAAAAAAATATGGATCAGGCCGACGGGTTTTAATCTTTACTTTTTATTTCATGTTAAGCCCCAAACCCTTGATTTAATTGGGAATCTTCTACTGCTCCCCAATGGGAAAATCAGAAGATAGAAGTGTCAAAATTTCATGCACATTTTGTGAACCAAAGATGCTTTTTCTATAGAGTGAAAAATAAAAATAATCTTTGGTTTGAGAGGAATTTTAGGGTGAAGAAACAAGAAAATGGTCTAAATGATACACAGTATATTTTCATTCTTTTGAATGTTTTTGCTATATCATTACCTATTTTAAGTTCCATCTTAAAATACTTTGAGAACAGCTTACTGAATCTCGGAATGAAATTTTGCCAATATTATTATCATGATAGGATTCTATATGCATTTCAAGTTACATGTAGGTGCAACATAGCTATTGAATGAACATGAAGACATTGATGCACTTGATAGGCTTATATGATATGCTTTTCTCAAGAATAAATAGTTTAGGATGAATGTTTAAGATATGTTATGATAATTTTTTATATGTCCTATCTTATGCTTTTGTATTGAACTTTTTTTCTCAAAATTTATACAGGTCACAGACTCAACTCATGTGTGTTCCGCACATTTTAATGAAAATTCATATCAGCGAACCCTAACAGGAATTCGCAGATTAAAGAAAGGAGCAGTGCCAACCATTTTCTCTTGGAAGGAGAAGAAGGAGAGGCAGCCACCTAGAAAGCGAACAAGAAGGTTGGTTGGAATTATAAATTTCAAAAACTTTAACTGTCTAAATTATAGTTCCAAGTTTTGAAATGTGATTTTTGATTGATTACAAATCTAAACGTTTTGCCTTATTTAATGTACAAACACTTCTTTAATTTCAGGGTGTTTTTAAGTGAAGTTTTTATAATAAATTATGTTTTAATATATGTCACAAATTCATGTACCCCAAATCACTGCACTTATTGAATTAGGTGTTAGTAATATTAAGTACAAGTTACAATATTATTTTGATTTCAGCTATTCATATGAGGACAACCTCACAGATATTTCTTCTGGACCTGATCACAGCAGCGAGGATGTAACTACTACACCAGCTCCTATGCCTGATCATGATTATGCCAACCCACCAACTAGTACTGCTGACCAGCTCGAATCACTGAAACAATACACAAAGAAATTAGAAGACCAACTTGCAGCTGTGTGCTCCAAAAGGTTTGGTATAAACCGATTCACACATGACCAAGATTTGATACAGTTTTACACTGGATTTAGAACCTATGATGATTTTATTTCAACTTTCAATGCACTGAAGCCAACAGCTGTAAATATGGTGCGATGGAGTCAAGTTCAGAGACATCGAAGTTCTAATGCAGAAAATCCACAATTAAAGAGTGACATTTTCAGAGATGAATCCATCCCATTAGTCGATCAGTTTTTTCATGTTCTTATGTCGTATCAGACAGGGCTTTTTTTGAGGTTGATTTAGCTGTGAGGTTTGATGTATCCGTCAGTTCAGTGAGTCGTATTTTGGTCACCTGGGCTAATTATTTGTATGTCATGTTGGGGATGCTACCGATTTGGCAAGAGAGAGCTGCTATCAACAAAGTTATGCCAGAGTGTTTTAAGAGCACATATCCCAATACCAGAGTCATATTAGACTGTACAGAGATCAGAGTGCAAACTCCAAGTTCAAAGACAAGAAACTCTGAGATGTATTCCCACTACAAGTCTCACTCGACTATGAAAGGGCTCATTGGAATCACACCAGATGGCATGATTAGCTTTGTCAGTGCTTTGTACACAGGTTCTGTTTCTGATAAGGAAATAACCAAACAGTGCGGAATACTGGACTTACTTGATGTTGGAGATGATGTGATGGCAGACAAGGGATTTGTAATACAAGACCTACTCACACCGAAAGGAGCGAAATTGATTATTCCTCCTTTTCTGAGAGAAAAAGGACAGTTTTCTCGCAGAGAAGTGAAAGAAACTCAAGAGATTGCAAGGCTTAGGATTCACATTGAGAGAGCCATTCGGAGGTGCAAGGAATATCATATCTTTGACTCTGTCATACCTCTAACATTAGCAGGATCCATAAATCAAGTTTGGACTGTCTGCTGTTTGTTGACAAATTTCTATGGAAAATTATTTTAGTTCATGGGCCAAAGTATGTGAACCCAAAGTGACAAGTGTAACAAACAAGCAATGTTTATGAAATGTATTTACCATGGACATTGTTATATAATGACAAAGTGTGACCATTGACAAGTGATGGTGGAATTCATATATGAAACACACTTTTCATTGAAGTATTACACATATTTCATAAAATATCTATATAGATATGAAAACAGTATAAGATATGAACATGTTCATATGCAAATATTCAACTTCATCATCATTGATCTCTCATATATGTACAATGTTTACGGAATGTGTAGAAATGTCCTATTTCCTTGTTCATGTGCAACATGCTTCAAATTTCTTTCTTTTTTTGACATGGCAATAAAGTTAAATGTAATAGAAATTTTGAAGCTGTCACTGGTATTGGCCAGGGTGCGATTTCACATATTTATCTAGACTGCACTTAGTGCTGTCTACACCATATTTGTATCTGCAATATTGTTTACGTGAATAATAATTCGTAATTGTTATCCAATATTCATGATACGCATCATATTTGCCACATAGTGTATTCATTGCAGCCCTATGGAACAGCATTGAATGAACTTGAAACATTTGTTTTTAAATACTGCAGTTCCTTTAATGTTTTCAATAGTCATATATTTTGATCATTTCAAATCCCATGGAGAGGAGATACATGTCATGTAAACAATAAAATTATTGATAAAATGCCAACTCTGGTCTGTATTCATGTCATCTGTAGATACACACACACAAGATTACTTACAATTGCAAAGATGTGGCAGGTAATGATTGAAGTAGAATATGTCTAATTTTATTTTGATATCTTCCCACTTCCGTTGAGAGAAATATATTCTCTCAAGATGAAAGTCACTTTACACATGACAAAAAGTCACACCACTTAGAACCAGTTAGTGCCATCTGTCCCATGACTTGACAGTAATATTTGTCTGATAATCTGAGTTTGTACACTCCATTCACCAGATGTAAGTACTTCAGTTCTGTGATAGAGTCAACACTTGATGGACATTTTATTTCAAGCAAACCAAATGCTGGAAGGGATGTTGGATCATAGACTCTACGGTCTGGTGATGTGCCTAAATGGGGGCAACTTGGATTTATAACAAAACCACATTTGAAAACATTATTGTTAGTCCTTTCAGCATAACACTTTGCTGCGGTTTGCTCTTGTTCAATTCCATACTTCATAGCATCTGTCACAATATTTTTCCTCTTCGTTTGACACTTTTTTTGGACAAAGTCTCTCAGCAAGTTTGTGATAGTCACCTTTTCTGGAATAAACAGGTTTGAAATTTGAAGATGTCAATCTATCTGAGTGCAAATCATGCCACATGTCACTGTCAGATTGAGACCTTGTTCCAACTTCTATTTCAACTGAATCTTCCTTTGAAATGTTCAATCCATCAAAAACATCTTGCTGACCATGTGTCAAAACTGTTGATATATTACATACTACATCTGGCAATGTGAAAGTAGGAGCATCCTTAATGTGTGGGTGATTGGAAAAAATGTCAGATTCCATGTTGATTTTTTACAGGACGTTGGTATGACAGAACACATCCCTTAGGAACTGGACCAAGTTCACTGTCAACCATTTGTATCTCTGCAGATGCTAAACATGATCTAATTTGAGCTGATGAGTTCACATTTTCCAAATTTTGAGAAAGTGTTGAAGTAAATTCTTGACATGGTAATGGTGACATGATAGGATTATAAAATGTGGAATGTACTCCTTGAATTCTTCTCACCTTGGCTGGTTTTGATGTTGGAAATTTAACTTTATTGATCTTTATGTCACTTATTTTCTTCGGCATAATACCTTTAGTTCTTGGAACATGCCAGGCTTGAGGTAAAGATGTTTTGCTGATTATTGAGGGACAGTCTTGAATCCACACATATTGTAATGGTGAAGAAGATATAACAAACCAAGTATGTGGTTGCAGTCACCTGCTCCAGCCTTACATGAACATGAACAGTTACTAATAGTAATACCATCACAATCTTCATGCTGGGTAATCTTAATATTCAGTGTATGAGGGAAATCATTCTTCTTCATTGATTTGAAACACTTTGCTCTAATGAAGCTTCCATCACATGCTGTCCGCACTGCAATTAATAAGAAGAGTTAGTTAATTAATCTAATAAAATTTATTTGTCAAGTGAAAATTACAACATAGCTTTTTGAATCACTGGATAATCATCTTGAGTAAAGCTGATTGTTCGGTTTAGGTATTTAATGGTAGATATTTTTATATGATAAATGAAAAAATTGAGCATAGCTTCCGCATGCCGGTTGATGGAACATAACTGTTCAGAGAGTTTAATTATTTTTTTGTACCATCATCAATATAAAAAAATTGAGTATGGCTTCCGCATGCCAGGCTACCTGCCCGGTCGAGGGAACATAACTGTTCGGTTTAGTATAATACATGTATACATGTAATAGGCTACCTCTCATATCACTCTTACTATGGCACTATGATAAATGAAGTGTTTCATGAAAAATCACAAATTATGATAATTTCCTGTAAAGAAGATGTTTCATTAAATTTATATATTCAGGATATTTAACAATATATGAGTTAAATAAAAGATTAAATGTCATCAAGCTGTCACATGAATTGAATATGACAATAATTTGAACTGCACTATCATTTATCCATGTAAATATTGTTTATCATAATTAGGCCTTTCAAAGTATATCCTTATGTATAATCAATATGTAATATTCCACATCGGTTTCGCAGAAATGATAAAAAATGTAACGGTACTTGCACTTCAAACAGGCATATTACTATTGTTACGAGTACACCAAACATGAAATGTCAAAAATTCTCTCACAGTGTTTACCTTCAACATCGTGAATGTAGGATTCAACGAAATTGCTGTAAGCTTTCTTGTGGAGAGCTGCTGGAATGCGGCAGTTCGTCGTCCATGCTTCAATGTCGGAAGATTCGACAGCTGGTAGAGATTTCAGACTTCTTGTCCACTGTGGCAGTGACGGGCCGTAAGATGACATTTCTCTAGCAGACGATGGATTCGCGGGGCGGAAATACCGGAAGTAAACAGTGTGTATACCGAGCCTCGTTTTCGCGAGTAATGGCCGACGCGTGAGAAAGGAGTATATATCGCATATGAAAATTCTCTGCAATACCCACCCCTAACATGACTATATTTGATAAAGCTGAACGTTTAATAATGGTTATTTTCCCGTTTTATCCAGTTCAAAAGAATTCTTTTGATATGTTCAAGTCTCTTCTTTGTATTGATCACCCACTCGCTCACTGCGCTAAGGTGTGCACGTGAAGCACGTGTGTGTTTCAGTGAATTCAGATATTATTTTTGTTTTGATATTGATTTACAAATCGTAAGTAATTTACTTATTTGGTCTCTGGATTTCCGAATCACGTTCTTGATGTTTTTTACTTATTAGAAAGCACGACCTACATGTATGCTGTGACATTTGATTTACTCTCCTGGATAGAATTATCTAATTAAGGTTTGAGTTGATTCTTAAATTTGTCATAAAGAAGATTCGAAATATCGTCTTTGTATGTTATATACCTGATTTCCTTAGTTTCTCTTTCTCCATGGGGATGCGGGGCCTTTACCGATCTGTAGACATAGTCCATGGTAAAACGGATATTGCCTTGTTTTTATCTATCTGTCCTTTATTATACTTAAACATAAAACCTTCACTTTGACACAACAACATTCATGTTCAGTTAAATAAAAAACGAGTAGGCTTTTGCCTGTATCATGGCTCCCTTTAAGTCAAACTCATGAGGAGTAGCTATCCTTCTGAACATTTTGAAAATGAAATGCATAAGATATCTAAAGATGAAAATGAATGATTAATTTCCCAATATTCTCCTTTAATAGTTGAATAAGTATTTAGAGGTGGATATTTCGGTATTTCTGACAAGAGTTATGGTATATGACAATTAGATTTCCTGAGATAAAATTCTTTTAAGACAAATTTTTAAATGCCAAATGCTTGACCTTCCTATACAAAACCAAATCAATAATAGAATAAAGTATTGCTAACATAATATACACAACTATTCAGGTTAACATGTACGTATTCTTGTCTACCAAGCTGCAAATACCGACATGAATAATTCTCTTTCATCAGTAACAACTTTCTGCATCGTCTGTGTATATCTAGTCACACTGAAACTGAATACGGACTTGTAGGTCATGAAGGTAGCCATAGCATAACTCTATTGTATGTATGTATCCAGGATACGAATAAGAACGAATAGATGACAAGAGTTTCGAGCTAAAGAAGTACAGAAAGTGTCGAAAGATAGAAATATTCGTAAGCATGAAATATGGACTGGGGAAATTTTCACCATTTCTCAGAGAATCTTGAGGGGCGAACTACCAGAGTCAAGGACTACAACCATGACGAAACCCAGGGCAGCTTCTACCAGTCCGACTTACAGGAAATAAATGTCAGAGAAAACGATACTTGGAAGGTTTTAAAGAGCAGAGGAAAAGGCCCTAACAACAATATTTTCTTAAATGGTTACACTGGCCTAAGAAGTTTAATTCATGGGTTTAAGCTAGTGGTGTAGAGAGATTGTAAAGTGTATTTGTAAATTGTAGAGACATCTGTACATATGTTGTAATTGTGATTTGGGGTGACTTCTCCTACCAATGTCCACTCGGCATGCACGGGGAAATTAGATATGTTGATAGAGTTGTGTATTGTCGCTGTGAATGTTGCTCCTTAGATCTGCATTACAGATCCCATTTCACAAATGAACGACTTAGGGATGTTTTTAACATGGTGTACGCCCACACTATAAAGAACGCTATCCTGATGAGCTTGAACCTAGTTTCTCGCATGCATGGACGCGGGGAGGAATATAGACTGTTATTTAGAGAAGGGAATGAGTACAGACTGTTAGTGTTCAGAAAGGAATGAGTAAAGACTATTTTTGAAGACAAGGTTTCCCGCCAGTATTAGATGACCTAAAATTTCAAAATTGTACCTTCCTAACTGCTGTCTAAAATGTGTATAGACATAAACATTATGTTACAGCACCACCACTGTGTGACCTCCACAACGCCTCAAAGATCGGGGACTTATCAAGGGTGAACGTCATCTTGTCCCAGGGACGGGCCAACATAGACTGTCAAGAGTGGATTGGTAGAACACCCGTGATGTGGGCGGCTCTTAAGGGACATAGAGAAGTGGTTGAGTTACTTGTGACTAAAGGAGCCAACGTGACACTTACGGATAGATTCGGTATCAACATCCTTCACTCAGCCAGTCTAGGAGGAGATGTAGATGTGGTGAAGTATGTCCTCTCACATGACATGGCGGACATCGATAGTAGAGCACAGTGCAAAAGAACACCTATGATGCTGGCAGCAGAGAATGGACATAAAGAAGTCGTAGAGTCACTTGTGGGTGAAGGAGCTGACATGTCACTTGTGGATGAACAAAGTGACAACATCCTTCACTGTGCCTGTAGGGGAGGACATCTGGATGTAGTGAAGTACATTGTCTCACAGGGCAAGGTGGACATCAACAGCAGAGGATCGAAGAAGAAGACACCGGTGATGTTTGCAGGACGATGGGGACATAAGGACGTGGTAGAGTTTCTCGTTGAACTTGGAGCTGATTTGTCGCTCGTATATGAAGGTGGTAGCAGCGTACTTCACTTGGCCTGTTTTGGAGGACATCTAGAGGTGGCGAAATACATTGTATCAAAGGGCAAGGTGAACATCAACAGCAGAGGATGGAAGAAGAAGACACCAGTGATGGTGGCTGCAGCAAAGGGACATAAGGATGTGGTGGAGTTTCTGGTGGAGCACGGAGCTGATTTGTCACGTGTATATGCCGGTGGTAGCAGCACACTTCACTTGGCCAGTTGGGGAGGACATCTGGATGTAGTGAGGTATATCGTCGCACAGAACAAGGTGAACATCAACAGTAGAGGATGGAAGAAGAAGACACCAGTGATGGTAGCAGCAGAAATGGGGGAAAAGGACGTGGTGGAGTTTCTGGTGGAGCACGGAGCTGATTTGTCACGTGTATATGCCGGTGGTAACAACATCCTTCACTTGGCATGCAAGGGAGGGCATCTGGAGGTGGTGAAGTATATTGTCTCACAGAACAAGGTGAACATCAACAGAAGAGGATGGAAGAAGAAGACACCAGTGATGGTGGCAGCAGCAGAGGGACATCAGAAACTGGTGGAGTTTCTCATCAGAAAAGGAGCAGATGCTATTGGCTTAAAGAGGTGACAACCTCCTTCGTGGCTTGCCGAGAATGAAATGTGGACATGGTGAATATATTCTGTGATAGGAGATTGTGGACATCGAGGCAAAATATTGGACATGTGTTACAAACTATACAAAAATGGGCGTACATATCTATTGCTGCTATGGCAATATAGAAAGCTACAAACACACATGTTGGCAATAGCGAACAAAACCAAATATGTATTTTGTCTTCTGGGTTTTGTACATCTTGCAGAACAACAAACTATTGCAACCGATTTCGTAAAAAGCAAAAAACATCCTTTCTATGTCGAGTTTGTATTTGTAGTAGGCAGATCGTATACAGTATACCATGTGGTGGTAGATAGATTGTGTACATTGTGTGGTAATCTTTTCTGAAATCGGTGAGTAGCAGACTTTGCCTAGCCTACACAGAAACTGCTCACCAACCAACCATAGATTTCCAATTCCACCGTTGTCTTGAATAGTTTCTTGTATCTTGTAACCATATACCGGAATAGTTTTTCCAGTCGGCAGAGAGAGTAGCAGCGACAGTCTGTTCTTCCCTCTGTGTTTGGCTACTGCAAACCTTTGCATACATAGATTCCCTCTGGAATGTCTGCAGCTTTTCTGTGTTTGTTGCATGGTGGTGCTGCTGCTTCCATATCCTTTGACTGTAGTTTGGCAATGGGGCATAGCAAATATGTTTTCCGTCCAGGTGGTGGGTCTGCTTTCCCAGCTAACTGTAGTAAGATACAAGAATCTTCTTGCATACGCAATTGTCTACCAAATTGTCGAGTATGCGTTTGTATCATAGGCACCAGCCAAAACAATCTTGGTCATACAGGTTCTGTATGTTTGAGATACAGTTGGAGATCTCGATTTCTTCTGGAACCTCTAGTGGGAGTCGCTCCTGGGATGTATCAGGTGTATCTTTGTTTTTCCAGATAACGCATTTCTTGCTGCAAGTGCAGTGGTCTATGGTGCCGCACTTGCAAGTAGAGTTGTCTTGGTCGAATATGGCAGGTACTTGCGGTATAGCAGCGAGGCAGTCAGTGCATTGGTTGTGTCTGTCCTTTGTTTCCGGGCAGTGGTCCAGAACGATTCGGTGTTTGCTTGCTGCAAGTTGAAATTGATTTGGTTGGTATATGGAGACAAAATGTACTATTTTGCCGTCTGAATCGAAGAAAACACAGCCAATAGAGTTCGAGAAACTGCCTGGGGATCTGGTAGATTGTGTTTCCATATTGCTCTTGGATGTTGTTCTCTTTGGTGGAAAGGAATAGATTGGAACGCTTCTCTAGCAACATCTCAAAGACCTCTGTCCAGGCCGTGACAGAAGTTGTGTTGGTGTGTGTCTCTGTTTGTGTCTCAGGGTCTATACTGCCTCGGATTCGCATATATCTGGCTTGCGATATATGGTACTTCTTCTTCGCCTCCCGGATAGACATATTGCCAGATCGGATCTCAACATAACCTTTTGTGATAGCTTAGTTCCTGGCATTGTAATGTTCTATATCCATACACCTGCATATCTCTAACTGGAGTGCACTTCCATCGGTGGTATATGTGTGTGTGGAGTGGGAGCGAGTTGTAGCTGGGGTGGTTTCTAGTCTGTTTGGAGGCTTCTAGAGTAGTCCAACACACAGCTGAGAGCTGAATTGGACTGAAAGACCACGATGAGGAGGATTGCGGCCGAAACCCCATTTTGTATACTACTGTGTGTATTGGACTATTTTTTTCTCTTCTGTTGCCGTAGGCTGTATGTTGTCGTATGTTCTTGTATTTTCTGTATACGGAGAACAGGGGACAAAAAGTGGTCCAATACACAGAAAAGTACCCGAAATGGGCCTCCACAGGCTTTTTTCCCATTGCTTTAACATTGGTGCACATCCACGTGCTTCTCTCCCCATTACCTATACTACTTAGTGTTTGGTCTTTAGAAATATTTGGACGATGGCTGTCCTGAACTAGATGCTATGACAGTATTGTATTAAAGTCAGTTTCAGAAACAGCCTAATGAACTTACATTAGACTTCGTCTTCACAATACCAGATGAAGTCCACTCACCATAGTTTAGTTTAATGCTTTATTTGTCCAGCATATGCTGAAACCCCTGTTTCAACTTGACATCTACGGAAAGTAAAATTTCAGAACAGTGTAGCTTTGAACTAGCAATATTTCAGAAAATATAGTGTAGCTTTGAGCTAGTCATATTTCAGAATAGTGTAGCTTTGAGCTAGTAATATATAGGATTGTGTGGCTTTGAGGTAGTAATATTTCAGAATAGTGTGGCTTTGAGCTTGTAATATTTCAGAAGAGTGTTGCTTTGAGGTAGTAATATTTCAGAATAGTGTGGCTTTGAGCTAGTAATAATTCAGAATAGTGTGGCTTTGAGCTAGTAATATTTTAGAAGAGTGTGGCTTTGAGCTAGTAATATATCAGAATAGTGTGGCTTTGAGGTAGTAATATTTCAGAAAAGTGTGGCTTGGAGCTTGTAGTATTTCAGAATAGTGTGGCTTTGAGGTAGTAACATTTCAGAATAGTGTGGCTTTGAGGTAGTAATATTTCAGAATAGTGTGGCTTTGAGCTTGTAATATTTCAGAAGAGTGTTGCTTTGAGGTAGTAATATTTCAGAATAGTGTGGCTTTGAGCTAGTAATATTTCAGAATAGTGTGGCTTTTAACTAGTAATATATCAGAATAGTGTGGCTTTGAGCTAGTAATATTTCAGAATAGTGTGACTTTGAGCTAGTGATATTTCAGAATAGTGTGGCTTGGAGCTTTTAATATTTCAGAATAGTGTGGCTTTGAGCTAGTAATAATTCAGAATAGTGTGGCTTTGAGCTAGTAATAGTTCGGAATAGTGTTGCTTTTAACTAGTAATATATCAGAATAGTGTGGCTTTGAACTAGTAATATATCAGAATAGTGTGGCTTTGAGCTAGTAATATTTCAGAATAGTGTGACTTTGAGCTAGTGATATTTCAGAATAGTGTGGCTTTGAGCTAGTGATATTTCAGAATAGTGTGGCTTTGAGGTGGTGACATTTTAAAATAGTGTGGCCACATCAGTATCACAAGCAGATACAACATCTATATCACAAGCAGATACAATATCTATATCACAAGCAGATACAATATCTATATCACAAGCAGATACAATATCTACATCACAAGCAGATACAATATCTATATCACAAGCAGATACAAAATCTATATCACAAGCAGATACAATATCTATATCACAAGCAGATACAATATATATATATCACAAGCAGATACAATATCTATATCACTAGCAGATACAATATATATATCACAAGCAGATACAATATCTATATCACAAGCAGATACAATATCTACATCACAAGCAGATACAATATCTATATCACAAGCAGATACAAAATCTATATCACAAGCAGATACAATATCTATATCACAAGCAGATACAATATATATATATCACAAGCAGATACAATATCTATATCACTAGCAGATACAATATCTATATCACAAGCAGATACAATATCTACATCACAAGCAGATACAATATCTATATCACAAGCAGATACAATATCTATATCACAAGCAGATACAATATCTATATCACAAGCAGATACAATATCTATATCACAAGCAGATACAATATCTATATCACAAGCAGATGTAAAATCTAGAAGACCTGCAGTGGCAACACGCTGAGTTAGCTACAAAGTCATTTCATTGGAGCACATGCGTATCAAATTGTTAAAAGCAAACACAATATATTTAGTATCCCCGACTCTCTTGTCAATAACATCTACCCTGGAGGCCTGACTACTGTTGCACCGTGGTGAATGTTATCACCGCTTGATTTTCAGCTCAGGTCTACTAAGGGTGCCTGACTTCTGTTGCACCGAGGTTAATGTTATCACCGCTTGATTCTCAGCTCAGGTCTATTCTCGGTGCCTGACTACTGTTACACCGAGGTGAATGTTATCACCACTTGACTCTCAGCTCAGGTCTACTCTGGAGGCCTGACTACTGTTACACCGAGGTGAATGTTATCATCACTTGATTCTCAGCTCAGGTCTATTCTGGAGGCCTGACTACTGTTGCACCGAGGTGAATGTTATCACCACTTGATTCTCAGCTCAGGTCTATTCTGGAGGCCTGACCACACACTCTGGCACAGTGGTGACTTAACATGACATCACTGCCACAGGCTAAATTGCATATCACGTGACCGAACTTTTCTCTTGTTTGTAATCAAACGCGCATATTCATAAGAAGAAGAGACTGGACTCACGAAAGCTTTTCGACGCTCTCTTCATAATGTTTTACATTGTTACATATACATTCTTCCACAACTGCGACAGTAAGGTCTATGACAGTATATATTTAGATATCAAACTGGCTGCATCGTTTGCTCTCCATCAGCTTCGATGACAGCATGCGTGGAGACGTACAACCTATGTAAACAAAGGATCGCTACGCAAATCGAAATAGTGTTGCATGTTTTTGGATATTTTCTCAGTGAAACTAAACCATTATATTAAAGATGTTTAGTCAGACGTGTAGACTCGTCAAAATTAAAAGATTAAAAGAAATCTGTACATTATATTTAATGGACATTGCAAGATGTGACGGATCGTCACATTTTTCTGGCCTGTGGCAGAGGTACTATGCTGGCTTGCCGCATGGAAGCTGATAACAGACACCATCAGCTCCATCAGCTCCTGAATCATGTGTCAAAACCTTTTTAAAAATATTGTAACACTTATGGCTTTCAGGACATTTTCCTCCTTCGTGGCATAATGCCATTGTAGTTCTTTTGCAAAAGTCTGACCGGGATTTTCAATAAATAAATAGTTTGGTGTTTGGAAATCAATAATCTCATTACATCGATGTGGTTTCCTGAGAAATAGAACTAGTACTGATTACTAAGTACTGCCATACTAAGGCCCACGGGTACTTACAATACCTTGCTACTTGCATCATTTACATCATACCTTGGCGATTTGGGAACAAATGAGCCGTACAAC